AACCCCAAAACTTAATCTAAAACATCACCCCAAAAGAATCCATTCCTTCTGTCACAGTGAGCGGAGTGAACCAGGGCTGCCTGGTTTGGGAAGGGGGCTATGTCCCACCTACAGCCATGCGGTCCTGGGCCGCCCCCTCCTGCCTTTGAAGCTTTGGTTGTAAAGTGGGACAGCAGTACCGACCTCTGGGATGTGTGGTGACCAGACAAACTCAACGTTTCATTGTGTTTCCAATGAGTTCTGACCCTGTGAGCTCTTAGGGGAGGAACCCGCTTCACTTCTCTTGGAGAAGTGATTGCAGGTTGCAGGAAATACCAAGACGGTTCTGGTTCCAGCCCTGCCTGGGAAGATTCCTTCAGCTGGAACCTTCAGGCCCGAGAAGGGGAGAGACCCAAGCTTCTAGGTCCCCACTCCCACTTCACGCCAATGGAGACAATCCCACATTTGTGGCCCTCCCTGGCTGCCCCCCGGGCCCAGGACCAGCCACACACTTTGCATCATTTCTCATTTAATTCTCATGACCGCCCTGGGGCCCTCTGCACCACAGGGTTTGTAGACAAGGAGACAGAGGCCCAGAGAGCAGCCAGGACACCTGACCAGCAGGACCAGGTTTCCAGCGATTCTTGCTCAGGTGACTTCAGAGTGAGCTGGGGCCCCGGGCTGGGGATCTAGATGCCTCCTGGCCCCACAGTGGGGGGCGATGCCGGGGCTCCTGCCATCTCTCAGTGCTCAGAGGGCAGCGTTAGCCCCAGGATGTGTGCTGGTAGCTGGTCCTATGGGCCCAGGGCCTTGCTAAGGTGGGGGGACCCCGTGATGAATACAGAGCCTGCCTCCCACCTGCCCCAGCCCCTCAACCTCAGAGAGAAGGCCTGGCGGCCCAGCCTAAAACTGCCCTGCATTTCAGAACTGTCAGTGTTACTGAGAATGAGCCTAACCCCGGTCGGCACCAGGCATTTTCCTGAACAAAGGCTATTCTTTTACGACAAGGAGTCCCATGAGCTTCCTAAACTGCCAGAGCCTAAAGCAGGGCCCTGGGCTGTCTCACTTGGCGCCACCTGCAGCATCCGCCCTCTGTGAGTCACGTGACTAGCACCTTCTGAGAAACTAAATCTTTCTCCACTGCTGGTTCAAAATCTGCCTCTCCCACTGCAGCCTCAAGGACTAACTTCTGTGTCCACTTTAAAGTGCAAATGTGCCATCTGCCTCCACTCTCTCAGAGCCCCAGGCGGTTTCTCACCTCTGGACCAGGTCAGAGCCCTGGGCTGGGCCCTCCCCAGAGGGTACTGGGCATCCTCACCACCATCCTGGGCTCCCAAAGTGTTCCTCCTTGCACAGGCCCCACTCTCATTTCAGCCCTCGGGGCCTGAGCGGGGTCCTAAAATACCTCCCCAAATTCTGACACTCCTCCCCCCAAAATGTGGAGCTTAACACCCCTCCCCTGAAGCGGTGGGCTGGACTCGGTGACTCACTTCCAATGAATGGGATTTGCAGGAACAACAGAACGAGTGGGTCACAGAACACCCTCCAGCTGCCATCCTGCCTGTCTGTTGGATCACCTGCTCGGGGAGAAACCCCCTGCCACATCGTGAGGGCACTCAAGCAGCTTCACGGAGGTCCACCTGATAGGGAACTGGGGCCTCCCGCAAGCTCGGAAGTGGGTCTTCCAGGCCTAGCCAGCCTCCAGAGGACTTCAGTCCTGAGCGACATTTTGAGGGCGGTCTCCCAAGAGCCTGAGCCAGAACCACCCGCTTGCATCACCGCCACATTCCTGACCCACGGAAACTGTGACATCATAAATGTCTGTCATCTTCAGTCGCTAAGTTTGGGGGTAATTTGTTACGCAGTAGTAGATAATCAATATGGGGGCTCTGCACCATGTCTGTGATGCTGAAACAAAAGATCTAACCCAAAATTGCTCAAAGTGCATGTCTGATCTCCAGTGACCAGGAAGTCCCAAGGGGGGGTGGCTCTAGGACCGACCAATTCAGGGGCTCAGGGACATCACCAGAGACCCAGGTTCTTTCTCCTTCTGCTCTGGATTCTCAGCATATTGGCCTTTGTCCTCTGGTTGGACCCTTTGTGGTCACAAGCCGACTGCAGCAGTTGCTGGTGCCACATGCCCACACACTGACAGCCAAAGGCTGGCTCTGAGAGAACACTCCAGCGTCCAGCCTTTTGTGGATGGTGGGAAAGTCCCCCAGCAGCCCTCAGCCGACTGCTTCCGGGGCCCCACTGCCCGGAGCTGGGGCACATGCCCCTTCTTAAAACCTCTGACTTTGGAGCTAGGAAACACCCAGACTCCCCAGATGACTGCAGCTACAGCAACTAAACAGAATCAAAACCAGGGATCTCATGGGTGAGGCAGGAGCGGCTGTGTGGGAATCCTAGGGAACGTGGCAGTCTGCCAGCGCAGGATGAGCCCTTACCCAGTACACCTCCCCTCCTTCTCCACCAGCTATTGCCGCCTGTCCCTTCACCTGGGGCACCTCAGCTCTCCCCTCCCCACACCCACCTAATTATGGGTGATTTGTGGGCAAGACATTGGTTGCTAATCTCTGTTTCCCCGTGAGACAGCAGTGCCCAGCACAGAGAAGTGCCTGGTTGCTGTTCACTGAACAAATGGAGAGATGTAGGGGTTCAGAAGAGAGCCCTCCTGGCTGGGAAGTCAGGGAACATCCCGGGAAAAATGACATGGGCATCATCCAGGGAGAACAAGTGTGAGCAAAGCCACGGAGCGCAAAGACTCCAGAGTGGTGATAACCTGGGGGCGGAGGGCACAAGTGGTGGGGAGCACAAGTGGACTGGGTGGGGCAGGGAGCAGGCAGAGTTCAGATTCTACAGGGCCGGGAACATCCATGGGCTTGGGAATGTGTTGTACAGTCCACCGGGTGGAGTGTGGTCAGTGGGGAGACTGGTCCTGCCTGAGGGCTCGCGGAACGTTTACTTTCATCCTCCTGTAACCCTCAAACAGCACTGTGACTGGGGGTGGTGTTCCCTCCTTACAGGCAGGCCCGGAGGCTCAGACTTTCAGTAGCTGCCTCCGTTCCAGAGCCTGCAGCTGTGGAGACGGGTCATGAACCAGCTGCCTCCGGAATACCTTCTTGTCCCACCACCCTAGGCTGGTTCCAACTCCTCCTGAAACCCCAGGAGCCAGAGGCCCCACTCTGTGCAGGGCTGGGGGCAGGCCCAGGAGGGAGAGGGGAATGCACTAATGGGCTGAGGGAGCATCTCTACACCTAGGGGTGGGGGATGGGACCACAGGGCATATGTGGTAAGGGTGGCACAGCAGGAGCTATGCCAGGCAGGCTGATAGGAGAGGTGCTCTAATGCCATCTCAGTGCTGGTCAGCACATCCCTCCAGGCCTGGGATGCTGCCTACCCAGCACCAGCTGTCTCCTGGCCCCTTCTCTGGGCATGGGCCTAGCCCTGGTCACTGACATGTCCACAGGAAGCTGCCTGCTTTCCAGAGCTTGCAAGCCTGGGTAAGCGGCACAGCAAAGGACCCCATGGAAAAGTCTAGATCCTGGGCTGGCCCCAGCTATGCTGCTAACTCTTATGTGTTACCCGGAGCAGACCAGCTGTCCAGCACTCCAGGGCAAGGAAGAAATTTCTCTTACTCCTTTGGGACCCTGTGTGAAGCACAGCCCAGGCCTTTCCTGATTCCTTTCAGCTACAGTGCAGCCTCCAGCATGCCAAGGAGTTGGAAACATCTTATGGGAGAGCTAGCACAAGGCGAGTGCTGAATGGTCATGAAGTCAGCCCTAGCGTCCAGAGAGAGGAGATGGGCTATGTGGTTATGCCCTTTTCTAGAACCTCAGCAGAGATGAGTACCCTAGGACCTCAAACCACAGGGCTGGGGACTGGTGGGGTCACGGTAGCAGAAGGTCATGCCACCACTAGCAGCTGCGACTCATGCACACCCTGCCCGTCCTCTCAGAGGAGACGCAGCTGTCACAGGAACCTGGGGCTCCCGAGTAAGCAGAATGTCCGGGGCAAGGGCTCCTGGATCAGGCTCAGTTTGTCTTCCAGCAGGAAGGACTTTTCGGATCTGACTGCAGAAGAAGGGATGCAAAATCTGAGAAGCCCTAATAGGTGGCAGAAAGCTGTCCCCAGAAGGGTTGGAGCCCGCGTCTCCTCCCCTGTCCGACCGCAGTGAAGCAGGCGCGGAGGGGCAGGCAGAGAACAAGCCTCCGGCTGACGCCTGCCTTCCCAGGAATGAGGATGGGGAAGGACAAGTTCTACAGCAAGGATGAAACCTTCAGCAGGTCCCGAAGCCCCGTCCTCACCAACCCTCAGCACTGAGCGACCAGGAGCTATAACCGCACGTCCAGCAGGGCACCGTCCAGGTCACCAGGAAAAGATGCCTGGCCACCTGGGGACCACGAGGATGCTGCAGCCTCATCCCCCGCCCCACTCACGACCCAGCGCGTCCGATCCCAGACGGCCTGAGGACAGCTCCCAGACCCGGGAAGGCCCTCCCCGGGCCGTCTCCTCCCCCAGGACCCCAACACACAACCAAGACCACCGGAACACCACGTCGGCCACGGCCGGCTCATGATTCTCCTTCCCAAGTGAGTCCCATTGGCTCTTCCCGCAACAAGCAGCCGGGCCCGCCGTGCGCCGGAAGGAGAGGCGCATGCTGGGAGGCAGCGCAGCATGCTGGGACTTGTAGTCCGCGACCCGACCCCAGCCGAGGCAGCCTCTAGTTCCTTCAGCCCCCAAAGCCGGCGAGTACAAGAGGTCCGACGCCCCGGCCTGAGCCACCCCGGCCCGAAGACAAGACGCCCGCAGCCTCACGATTTGAGCCTCGGGCCGGAAAGAGGAGTGCAGCCGGCGCGACGGCATGGCATCGCGATAGCCGAGCTGGGGCGCCACGCCCCCTGGGGGGCGGGGAACCTGGCGCGGACTTCCCAATGCTCGAGAACGATTGGGTCGTTGCTGTCACGTGACTCAGAGCGCCGTGCCTAACTGGCTGCAGTCTGGGACCCGCCCCCGGCGGTTACCGGGGCGACGGGCCGGGTGGTGCGCTGGCCGGGTCCTCGCGGCCGGTCCCGCGGGTCTGGAGGGCCCGGCCAGGCAGGGGAGCGTCGGGCAGGCTGGGGACCCGGCCATACCTGCCCGCCCTCCCGGCTGCGCGCCCCTCGGCCGCGCTCGGCGCCGGGGCGCGGGATGCACATGGGAGCCCGGGGCGCCCAAGATGCGGGCGCCGGCCAGGGAGCTCTTCCAGGACGCCGCCTTCCCCGCCTCGGACTCCTCGCTCTTCTCCAGCTTCTCCACGCCGCTGGCCCAGTTCCGGGAGGACATCACTTGGAGGCGGCCCCAGGTGGGGCACGGGGCGCGGGCCGGGTCTTTAGACCCTGCTTGCTGCCCGGGAGCGAGCGCGCGGGCCGGGCTGAAGCGGCGGGAAGGCGGCCGGGTCAGCCGGGGTTGGGCACTCAGTGGTCAGCAGGGTCTGCTGCTGCCGTCCTCAGGAGTGGGCCCCAGGCTCCCTCCCCGACTTCTAGCTCCCTCTCAAGCCCACTCAGGATGTGCTGGACCCTGAGCTCGTGGCCCCAACCTGTGAGAGCTCCATTCACAAGCCGAGTCTGGGCACAGCGAGGGGGGCGTTTGAACAGACACACGCCAGCCCCACTTCCCTTCTTCTGCTCTAAGGGCGTCTGACCAGACTTGGCTTCTAGTCTGCATGGCTGTTCTGGGCACGAGCGGTCCACCGTGTTCCATTTCTTGTGTTTGCTTGTGGCTGCTGCTCACGGGCAGTGAGGTCTTCTGCTGCTCTTCTGGAAAGGGCAGGCTGACCCTACAAAGCAAAGCCATTGTGCTCTCCAAATTTGTTTCGGACTTTGTGCACCTGCATTTTCAGATGTAAGCACTTTCAGATGGCTACTCAAAGGGATTCTCGGGCCTAGTGCCACATTGATATCTTTAGAAGTGGTGTATCTGCTGAATAAGACTGCCCTCTGTGAGTGCACACAGTCTTAGTGGAGACGCCCGCACAACCACCAGCCCTTGAACAGAGCCAGAATTGCTTGGCTCTGGCAGCTGAGGTGCTCTCCTTGGGCCACACTGAGAGGGCCTGTTTGGCAGGGGAGGCTGCAAGAACTAAAGTGTGAGGATCTGGTGGAATTTGGTAAAAAGTGGATTTTAGGTGCAATGAGAGGCCATCAGAGGGTTTTTGGTAGAGGAGTGATTCAACTGGATCTATGTTTAAGAAGCTCACTGTTACTGCTGGGTGGGAAATGGATTTTGGGGGCAAGAATGCAAGTGGCCATTGCACTAGTCCTGGGGAAAGGTGAAGGGACTCAGGTTAGCATGACAACCTCCAGTTGGAGTGGGTGGAGGTGAGAAATATTTTGGCAGGGGGATTGATAGGTGTTAGCAACCAATTGGAAGTAGAGGTAAGGATAAAGGAGGGATCAAGAATGGCTTCTAGATTTCAATCCTGAGCAACTGGGTGGGTGGTTTGATGTGCTGGAGGAAACTGGGAGGTGGGAGGGAGCAAGCGGTGGAAATATAGGGTTGGGTTTTGCTCTCACACGTTCAAGCAGAGCTGTCAGCAGGCAGGTGGATGTGAGAGTTGGGAGCTCAGGAAGATCCAGGCTAGAGGCTGGATGTGGGAATTGGGAGCATAGTGATGGCCTGCAGTCCAGAGCCTGGAAGAGGATCTCGGGAGAAAGTATGGGTAGAGAAGAAGAGAGAGGTCAGATCTGAGTGGGGTCAGTCGGGTACTCTGACAGGTAAACTTGAGAAGTAGCAGGCAAAGAAGTGAAAGGACAGCCAGGGGCACATGGATTCATGGAAGCCAAGAGGGAACTGCTGGGGACAGGGGACAGCCACTCTTCTGATGCTGCTGAGTGTTGGGAAGGACAAGGATAGAGACATGCCCGTTGGATTTGACAACATAGAAGTGTCAGTGATAAAAGCAGTCTTGGGGGCATGACTGGCTCAGAAGCTAGAGGGGCCCATGTTGAAAGTGAGCTGGAGGGAGGAACTAGGGAGGCAGACCTTTCAAGAAATTTGTGCGTGAAGGAAAGCCTAGAGGGGAAATCACTCTGAGGAGCAGTATCTTGGAGAAGCCTGGAGTTCTCTCTCGTGGTTTATGATGATGGGATTCTGCCTGCGGAGGTGGGAGAGGGAGGAGGTCATGGCAGGAGGCCAGGTTCTGAAGGCAGGAGAGAAGGTCAGGTCATGCGGCTTCTGATGAAGGGTCAGGTGAGGTCGTCAGCTCAGAGGGCTGTGGGCAAGGGAGGCGTGGGAGTTTTGAGAAGAGAAGGAGAAAGGGGAAGGTGTAAACTAGTCTAGAATAAGAGAAAGTGAGCCTTTTAGAGAAACAGAAGGATTTCCAGGAGTCTAGAGGCCCCTTTCGAGATTTGCTGTTAAGAATTTTAAAGTGAGGGGCCGGCCCTGTGGCCGAGTGGTTAAGTCTGCATGTTCCACTTCGGCGGCCCCAGGTTTTACCAGTTTGGATTCCAGGCGTGGACGTGGCACCGCTCATCAGGCCACGCTCAAGCAGCGTCCCATACAGCACAGCCAGAAGGACCTACAATTAGAACATACGACTATGCACTGGGGGGCTTTGGGGAGGAGAAGATGGGAAAATAAATAGATAAATAAAAAGAGAAGATTGGCAACAGATGTTAGCTCAGGTGCCAATCTTTAAAAAAAAAAAAAAGAATTTTAAAGTGAAACCAATTTCTAGCCCAACATTTAGCTATTTTGAGAAGGGGAATGGTAGGATTCATCCAGAGTTGGCAGTTTGCCAATTGCGGAAGGTGGACAGAGACAGGGACCCCAGAATCTAAGCTGGACAGAACGATCCGGAGCCAGGAGGGGCTGACAGGTCATGGCTGCAAGAAGCCAGCTGCTCCCTCCCTCCCCCCACCCCACTTAGGCGGTGTTGATGACCAGACATCTCCTCCCCAGCGTCTGTCACCTAAATCCTGTGTTCTTTGTTTTTAAGACTAGTCATCAAGCATGATGTAACTCTAGACAATTTTCTTTATTTCAGGAAATTTGTGCCGCACCCCGGCTGTTTCCAGATAACCCACAGGAAGGACAGGTGAAGCAAGGCCTGCTGGGGGACTGCTGGTTCCTGTGCGCCTGTGCTGCCCTGCAGAAGAGCCGCCACCTCCTGGACCAGGTGTCTGTGACAGTGCAGGTTTCTCTTCTGCTCTTGTCTTCCTGTCTGCTGAGCACAGGAAGGAAGCGGGAGGCCAGGCAGCTGAACCTCTTGTTTTGTGGGGCTTTGCTGCGGCTGCCTAGCATGGTTAGTGGAGGGAGAGCTCGCCTCTCAGGTGACAGGGGCTCAGAGGCACAGACGCAGTGTCCCCCTCACCCACAGGGGTCCAGGGGGCTGCTTTCTGCCCTGCCATCTCCTGAGCCCTGGGTTCTCCTTTAGTCAGAGCCGTGCATTTGGAATAAAAACACAGATGTGCCAGCCTAGACTGGGAAGGGTCGGCTGAGGGATCCGAGGCCCCTGGTTTGGAATAAGTTTCCTTAGCTAGTTGACTTTTTTTCCCCCCACAACTTTTGAATGTAGATTGGCACAAGGTGGTTAACACTGTTTCTGACGCTAGGCAGTCAGCACAGGCGTGGAAGGCCTGCTCAGATTCCTTCCCCAGGAGCGGTCACGGCTTTCTGTTTGGCTTGTTGCTAAGTGTTACCGATTAATGCAGCAACACTTTGACCCCGTTCAGAGCTTCGCCCGTGTTCCAGGGCCCGAGCTCAGCACATCACAGTTGCCGGCTTTCAATTTTTGACCCTTTTTTACAAACAAGGGCACTAAAACCATCGTTGTCACGTTTCCAGCTGCTGAGTGGCAGAGCTAGGACCAAATGAGTCCGTCTGGGTGTGTAGCCCACCCCATGTCTCCACGCCAGTTCAGAACAAAAGGCCCAGCAGTGATCACATTGGCTCCAGGTGCTGACAGAGCTCTGGGGCACCAGGTTCCTGCAGGGGATTGCTGTGCCAACCGTGACCTGCCGTCACAGCCGGCTCTGTCAAGAATTGGGTCACTCGTGCCTGTAAAAGTCACGTTTGTTTGGGATTCAGGTCAAGTGCTTATTTGGGACAGTAGGACATAATGGTTGACTTGAAGCTTTTGGAGACGGCTGGCTCCCTCAGTGCAGCCCTGCAGCATTTATTGAAAGGCATGTTACTTTTCTGTCCAGTGATCGGGTTTTCCGGGAGCCCGGACCTCTAGGCCTGGAGTGAGGCAGACTCCTTTGCAGGAGAGCAGGTGCCGTGCGCTGGCTCGGCCGTGGTCGCCCGCTGGTTAGGACGTTTGGGAAGCGCCACACAACGTTGGTCTCATGGTCTCCTTTTGCCTTTCCCCGCGCGCGCTAGGTCATTCCTCCAGGACAGCCGGGCTGGCTCGACCAGACGTACCGTGGCTCCTTCACCTGTCGAATTTGGCAGTTTGGACGCTGGGTGGAGGTGACCATAGATGACCGTCTGCCTTGTCTTACAGGGAGACTCTGCTTCTCCCGGTGCCAGAGAGAGGATGTGTTCTGGCTTCCCTTACTGGAGAAGGCCTACGCCAAGTACGCATGCTGGAGGCGGCAGGGGCCGGGCCGGGCTGGGGCCAGAGCCGCCCTGGGCTGCCCCCGAAGCACTCTCCCTGGGCTTCAGTGCCCTTGTCCATTCTCAGGGTCTGGCGGCCCGTCCTGGGGTGGGGTTGACCATCCAGAGACAGAAACCGAGATTCAGACTGTGGCTTGCCTCTCTGCTCCCTGCCCACTCCCTCCTTCCCAGCCCTCACTTAAAGGTCAGGCCTGAAGGCCTCGCCTCCAGAAAGAGGAAGTGCGAGAGAATTGTCCTTTCTCCCTCCTCAAGCCCCAACAGGAAAGATGTTTCCGTCTATTTGTTTTTACCGTTGGGGACAGGTGGTCTCTTTGCAAGTCGTTGGGGAGCAGTGAGGCCACCTAGGTGTCAGTCCTGTTTACCTCGGTCCTGACCGACCGTGACCCTCACCAGAGTCTGAGTTGAAGAACTTCCCTCTTAGAAAGCATTGACCATCCTGCTAAGAGAGGCCGCCCTGGCAGGCAGGCCTCGCGCAGAGGAAGTGAGGAGAGCCTGCTGGTGAGGTTGGTGCGAGTGAGTCCCTGCGTCCGATGGCCGCTGTTGGGCTGTGGGTTTGATCCTGGGAGATGGAGGAGTGGGTGTTCACAGCCTCTGTGCCCCGCACCGCCTCACTCTTGTGCCCACACTGGAGGCAGGAGAGGTCCTGCGTGTGGGCAGAGGCAGCAGGGCATTGCTGGGACCCTGTGCCATGGAGCAAGTGAAGGCGGGATTGCATCTGCACCTGGGGATGAGGTGGGAGGTAAGAGGGGAGTAAAGAGAAGCGATCAAAGCAGTGGGTGAGATGATGATTTTGGGGTGTTACAGACTGTGGGGATAGAAGAGAGGCAGGGTGCTGCGCCCCAGTGCCAGAACTCACTCCCTTGTTGTCTCCCTAGGATCTATGGGTCCTATGAACACCTGTGGGCCGGGCAGGTGGCGGATGCCCTCGTGGACCTGACTGGTGGCCTGGCAGAAAGGTGGAACCTGAAGGACTTGGTGAGAACCAGTGACCGACAGGACAGGCCTGGGGGCTCAGAACACAGGACTTGTCGGCAGCTGCTCGACCTGAAAGACCGGTGTCTGATAAGCTGCTCGGTGCTCAGCCCCAGAGCAGGTGAGGCGGAAGGCCGCGTGCTGGGCCTGCTCACACCTGTGCCCTCCTGAAGGCACACAGGAACTTGTATAGTTGAGAGCAGGACATTGTCCTTCAAAGCTGGTGTCTAGGTGTGTGACCTTCCCCTGCTGTCTGCGCTTCTCCAGGGGAAGGTATCCCTTTTCCCTTAACCAGGACATAGCACTCGGGCGAGGCAGGAGCCGGTGCTGTGGTGACTGCCGTGCAGGCTCCGTCTAGGAGACAGGTGGGGGTACCATCTGTCCGGCTGGCACCTGGCAAAGTCAGCACTCAGGTGTTTGTTTTAGTAACAGATGGGCTCATCAAAGAAGGTTTGTGGAAAGGAAAAAACACTCAAGCATAAGCATTTGACTCTTTAGGGCAGTTTCTCTGCATTTTTTCATTAACTCATGTACATTTTGCATTTTCTGTTACAGACCATTTTCTGTGTTGTTGCACAAACTTTGTCAACATCTTATTTCATTAGTAGGTCTGCCATAGTTTTCTTAATCCTTCCTTTAATGTTGGAAATTTAAGGGCTTTCCAATTTGATGCTATTATAAATAGCATTGCAGTGAACATCTTTGTGCATAATAGTTGTCATATTTAGGACTATTTTCATAATGGGATTTTTGGTCAAAGAATATGAACATTGAAATAAACTGCCCCAGCACATGTGCAAAGGTTGGCACAGGCCTGCTTTGGGTTCCCCACAGGCAGACTCCAGGACAGGGGTCAAGAGCACATTTAGGGGGCGAGGGGAGCCCGCAGAGTGCCACCCTGGGAGGCCGGGCAGGACACAGCCTCAGAGCCTCCCCGGAGGTAAGGGGCTGGCCTGTTTCGCATCAGCTGCCCCCAGGGTGGGGCCAGGTGATTTCTAGGCACTTTAGGCTTTGGAGAAACCCTCAGGCAAAAAGCTGGGCCCCTGGAGCGGCTGGGAGGGGTGGGGCTGTGGCGTGGTTCTAAATAAAGCTCTTCAGGACTTTCCTGGAGGTCTTCCCTCCTCTCTGGACCCCTGCCCCTCCTCCCCAGGTCGGGTGCCCGTCTCTGTCTGCATCTGTTTGTCCCAAGGTCACTGGCCAAGTGGAGTGATTTGCCCTCTGGGCCTCTGGTCCTCCCCACTGGTGTCTGGTCAGACACTGCCTGACCGTCCCCGCCTCCCCAGCTGGCCTTGCCGTGGGAGCTTTCCCTTGTGTCTGGGCAATCACGGACCCGTCAGTGACAGAGCTCTCACGGCATGCTTGAGAACCAGCCCTGCCCAGGTGCCCTATGCTGCCAGGTGGGCCGGCCATCCCCCCTCGTCCTTCTGGGTGAGGACTGAGGCCAGAGGAGGGAACGGCTTGCTAGGCCTGGTGGCTGCTGCGCCAGAGTCCAGACCTGGGTCCTTTGCTGTGGCTCTACACGGGTGAAGGCCCCTCCTGAGCAGACTTGTCCAGAGCGCTCAGGAAAGGAGCCGTCGTGGTCTGTGGGGATCGGGTGCCAGTGCAGCCACAGTTGGGTGGGCTAGAGCATCTCCCGGGGGAGGCTGCCCTCTGTGTCTGCTCGGCCTGGGGCCTGCCTGCCTGTGACAGCCGTTCCTCGCCCAGGTGCCAGGGAGTTGGGGGAGTTCCATGCCTTCATTGTCGCAGATCTGCGAGAGCTGCGGGGTCGGGCCGGTCAGAGCGTCCTGCTGCTGAGGATCCACAACCCCTGGGGCCGGCGGTGCTGGCAAGGGCCCTGGAAGGAGGGGTGAGTGCCAGCGAGGGCTGCGCCATGGATCAGTGCCACGCTGCCGTCGGAGGGGAAAGGGGCGTGTGGCCCTGAGGGGCAGCCGGGAGTCGTTGCTACTGCGTGTGCCTGCTTGTGCCATGGTCGTTTCTAGCAGTCAGAATGGTGCTTGGTTGGGCTCCAGCAAGGCCCACTTGGCACTCATGGCCACCATGTTCTCTGCTTGGCCCCAGATGGCCCTACGAGGCTGGCTTCGTGCTTGGCGCTGGGACTGAGGCCACCCTAGGGCTTGGGGTCCTGTCTTGAGAGTGCACACGGGATGGTAGATACCCAGCTGGGCTGTGGGTGACAGGGCCCTGTGAGATGCCTGCGCCACTGTCCTCAGCTCAGCTGTAAGAGCCCTTACTCACGCTGGGGAGCTGGACTGAACAAGGGTGCTGGGATAGCTCCCCTGAGCTAGGCCCGCATTGGTGACCCGACATTTCCTCCCGAGCTCCAGCAGAGGCAATAGGGCAAACCTCCTTCCATCGCCTGCTTAGCCCTGGTGAGGAGCCCATCCAAGGGAGGAACGGGGCTCCAGAGGCAGATGGTCCTGCCCTGGAGCTCCTGTGAGCGTGGGGAGGGGCTGTGGAGCTGGGCTGTCCTGGGGCTGGCAGGGCCATCAGGTCCCCGCCCGCCCGGCTCCTCGGGTGGTGCCGTCAGCTCTCTGTGAGATGCCTCGCTGAGGTGAGCTTCCTTCCAGGGGCCCAGGGTGGAGCCAAGTGGATCCGGCAGATGCAACCGAGCTGCTGTCCCAGCTCCAGGAGGGGGAGTTCTGGGTTGAGGAAGAGGAGTTCCTCCGAGAGTTCGATGAGGTCACTGTCAGCTACCCCATCACCGAGGCCGGCCACCTGCAGAGCCTCTACTCAGGTAACGGCCTGAGCGGGAGCCATTCCCAGGGCAGGCCTTCCCAGGGGCACAGCAGCCCGAGTGGCCTCTGCCTGCTGGAGTCAGAGGGCTGTGCAGGTGCCCGTGCCTGCTGTGGCGGCTCCCGGGCACAACCCTGCCCTGCGCCCCATTTGGTCCTCTTCAGTGTAGAGAGATTGTCCCATGCCCTCCCGTCCCAGGTGACTTGAGGGGGTGGGAGATGGGGCCGTGGGGGTTGCTGGCTTTCTGTGGCTCTCCCCGGTCTTAGCAACGCTGGCGGGGAAGCTGGTGTGGGCGCCCCTTCCTGAGCTGACCTGTGGCATTTCTCGCCCTAGAGAAGGTGCTGTGCCACACTCAGGAGCTGCCTGGGGCCTGGGTCAAGGGGCAGTCTGCAGGAGGCTGCCGGAACAACAGTGGCTTTCCCAGCAACCCCAAGTTCTGGCTGCGGGTCTCAGAGCTGAGCGAGGTGTACGTTGCCGTCCTGCAGAGGCCCAGAATGCGCATGGCGGACTGGGCGGCCCGGGCCCGGGCACTGGCAGGGGCTGACCGTGCCGCGTACAGCCCAGAGAGCTTCCCAGGCAAGGACTACCAGGCCGTGGGCCTGCACATCTGGAAGGTAACTCTGTGCGGGCCTGGCTGCCTGCTCATGGGGTGCGTGGATGGGGACGTGGAGGCCCATGGAGGTCTGAGTCCCAGGAGCTGCCATGCCAGGACACACGTGACCACCAAGAGCCCCACATGCCCCACCTCCCCTGGGCCATCTCGTGGGGTCAGATGCCTGCTGCTGCTCCCACAGACCAGCGCTAAGCTGAGTCCACAGGACTCAGCTCCCTCCCGCCCTGCCTGGAGTGTGTCTGATGGCCAAAGGGAAAGAAAACAGAAGCAGCCACCAGCAGAGCTGGCAGGAGGGACCAGCGCCTGTGGGCTGCTGGCTGCAGCTCTTTTCTGTGAGCAGGCGTCTTAGGACCACTGCTGAGGAGCCAGCTGAGGGCCAGAGCCCAGCTCTGCCACCTCCCAGGTGATCTCAAGAGGTCACTTCTCCCTCCCTGCCTCCCTCAGTCTCCTGCCTACAAGACGGGGATGGTAGTGGTCTGATCCTGGGGGGCCGTCCAAGGATCAGTCCGTGGCACCCACCGAGGGAGGCGCCTGTCCTGCTCTCCTGAGAACACAGGAGCGTGGCCAGCACAGGCCCCTGCTGCCTCTTAGCTTGTGCACTGGGTGCTCTTTCATCTTGTATGTCCTGATGGGGTCTGACGACCCACGTCACACTGGGCCCTGTCCCTTTGTGGTTGTGGCCTACATTATGCTGCTTTTCTCTTGCAAAAGCGGTGGTCGCAAGCCTCTTGTCCAGCCGGCCTCAGGTTGCGTTAGCTGGCTAGATTTGTCTGCTTCCTCCCAGAGCAGCAGGATTTGCAGGCTCACATCAGGGCCAGAGCCGCTGACCCCAGGGCTGAGTGCCAGCCCCGGTTCATGGGCGTTTCCAGCCCGGCCCTGAGAAGCGGGGAGGGCCCCACAGGCCGGGGGGCCTTCGCCTGGGTCGTCTTGGAGGAGAGGCCCTTCTGCTGGGCGCTGAGCCGGGCGGCTCTCAGGGATGCTCGCTCACAGCCTGCCCTCTGCAGGTGGAGAAGCGGCGGGTCAGCCTGCCCAGGGTCCTGTCCGCACCTCCCGTGGCTGGCACTGTGTGCCATGCGTACGACCGGGAGGTCCACCTCCGCTGTGAGCTCACCCCGGGCTACTACCTGGCTGTCCCCAGCACCTTCCTGAAGGACGTGCCGGGGCGCTTCCTGCTCCGAGTCTTCTCCAGCGGGAGAGTCTCCCTCAGGTGAGGGGCAGGGGGCCTGGCTCAGGACGCTGGAGGCCCCAGCACCTCCTCATGGCTCCTGTGTGTGTCCGTGCCTGTGACCCAGGCAGCCCAGAGCATGCTACCAGCCGCCCTCCTGTGCTTGTCCTTCCCGGCAGTGCCATCAAGGCCGCGGCCAAGAGCCCCGCCCCTGGGGAGGCCCTGCCCACCGGGGAGTGGGAGACTGTGCGACTTCGGGGCTCCTGGAGAATCGGCCAGACAGCGGGGGGCAGCAGAAACTTCGCCTCCTACCCCACCAACCCCTGCTTCCCCCTCACGGTCCCCGAGGGCGTGGGCCCCCGCTGCGTCCGAATCACTCTGCGCCAGCACTGCCAGGACAGCAAGTACCACCCCATCGGCTTCCACGTCTTCCAGGCAAGCTCCCCATGTTCCTGGGGGAGGCGGGGCCGCAGGCTAGGCCCAGCAGGATGGGCGAGGGGGCAGTGAGGAGAGGGCTCTCAGAGCATCCGTGTCCACAGCAGATGGCTGGATGTGACAGAGACACAGACTCAGTCATTTGGGCACTTGGGCCAAGCTGGCTGGTCGCGTGCAAGACTCATTTCTAGGTGTCATATAGATTATAATTCACTGGGGCTCACGGGTCAGCTCAGGCAGCCCCATGTCTGCTTGTTCTGACTCGAAACAGCTGTGTCCTAGGGTCACTTGTTCCCAGAAGCACACCTCCCACCCGGGAGACCTGATGGCGGGCACCACAGAGTGGTCGCGCACCAGGAGCTACCCCAAAGCCACCCCTCCCCATGGCCCATCCCACTGAGGCCACTCCTCGGGGTGTGGGTTCCGGCTGAGAGCCAGGAAGAAGGATGGCGTGGGCTCCTGGGGAGGAGCAGGGGAGGGAAGGAGGGAGCCCACGCTCACTGAGACATCCGGGGCCTGACAGTCTGCCCAGTGGTGCTGCCCAGAGGATTTTCAGATCAGGAAGAAAAGACAAAGCCGGGTGGGTGGGGAGCTGCAAGGGAGCCCCCAGGCCAGCAGCTCTGGTGAGGCCACAGCGGGCTCAGCAGAGCCGGTGGGGCCTGAATCCCAGGCGGGTGGGAGAGAAGAGAAGAGGTGGCTTCCAGGAACTCGGGCTGCAGAGCACGACTGTTATCCCGCACGTCAACCTAGAACAGGGTGTGAGCCCGGGGACCCCGCAGAAGGGGAGTGCCTCCCTCCAGGCAGTCGGTGGGGGCTGGGAGCTCTCACCCCCAGTAGCCAGGTTGTGTGGATGCCACGGAAGGGTTGCCAGAACACCTTCCTTGGCTTTAGTCTGCTCTTCTTCTTACCAGCAACACTCAGACTCACTTAGCAGACCTGTCATTGGGCAAGGGGGACAGGTGACATGCTAGAGGTCAGAGGTTGCGGGCCTGGATCCCGTGGTGACAGTGCAGCTCCCCAGCCACGCGCAGTTGGGCTGCTTCTGGGGGCCCCACTTCAAGATGGTGTGGTGAACGGGTAGGTGCCGTGAGGAGGGCGGGGGCCAGGATCGTCGTGGGGGTGGACAAGCTTATCCTGGAGTACAGATGATTTGAGGGGAAGAGTAGGATTTTCTCTGAGTGAGAAGGTTCTGTGCCACTGGGAGGGCGGCCATTCAGCTCCTGAAGAGCCCCAGGTGCCCCTGGAGCCTCGCTCCACCCCAGGCTGCCCGCCAGTGCCAGGACCCATCAGGTGACTCTCGGGGTGGGGGCCTGGGCAGTGGAGAGTCTAGTGGTCCCCCAGACACGGGCCCCTGAAAAGGCTGCCTGGCCCCCAGCAGGGCCTCTTGGCAACAGTGTGTGAGTGGTGAGCGCAGCTTTGCTGGCCTGGCAGTTCCTCCTGCTCGGTAAAGGGGCTGATTGTGTGATGCGGGAGGGCTGGGGGCTGGGCATGAGATCCCAGCAGACTGCACCAGGCTGCTCACGACCCAGGACGTCCCCCAGCTGGGCTGCTTCGGGCCTGGGAAAGGGAGCGTGCCCTGAGACTGAGGAAGGAGAAGCACGCCTTGGCGGCCACGGCAAGTTCAACCTGCCCCACAGGCAGGCCCCCTAGTCTGAGCCCAGGTCTCCCCCAGGTCCCGGTGGCTGGTGGGAGGCAGGGCATGCCGTCCCTGCTGCTCCAGGAGCCTCTGCTGAGCTGCGTGCCACATTGCTACACCCAGGAAGTGAGCCGGCTCTGCCACCTGTCTGCGGGGGCCTACTGGATTGTGCCCTCCACCTACCTGCCCGACACAGAGGGGTCCTTCACGGTGACCATTGCCACCAGGATAGACAGGTGGGGCTTGGGGCCGTGGAGGGGCTTCGGTCCTCAGCGTCTCAGTGCCTGCCTTCCCCATTCCCTCCCGCCTGCCCCACGCCCAGCGCTCACCTGTGCTGGCGGAGACCACAGCAGCCCCACGTGCCTCAGGACTCTTCCTTGCCTGTCTGCCTGTGGGAGGAGAGCGCATGGTGGGCTGGGCGTGCGCTGCCCACTGAGTGTGCGGGGAGGGGCCAGGAGGGCTGACGTGGCACTCTCTCCCACAGGCAGTCCATTCACAGCCAGGAGATGCTGGGGCAGCTCCTCCAGGAGGTACGTTGGGGCTGGCCCCCTCGCTCTGTCTTGGGCTGCCTGGTGCCCTGGGACACGAGGCACCGTTGTCTCTTCCCAAGAGAGCCAGCAGCAGAGCCTCGAAGGGGCTGAGGAGCTGGGACTGTGGTGACAGCCCCTGGCAGTGCCACTGGGCGCAGAAGGAGGGCAGGCCTCCCCTCACCCCGCTGTCCAGGGCGGCTGCTGCCCAGACCTCACCATCTCTCCTCTCACAGGCCTCCTTCATGGCAGTGATGAAAACCTAACCGGATGGCCCCGCGTGTCAGCTCTGGTGATGGGGGGTCTGAGGGGACTCCTGGTCTCCACGGCGTCCTCACATGGTGCTGCCAGTCTCAGTGCTGCAGTGGCTGGTCCTGAGCTGGGCGGCTGCACGTGAAGAGCCCCCGTCCTGGAGAGAGGCAGCCTGGGGTCGAGCAGGTGCTGTGGGAGGTGCCAGAACACTTCCGTGGTGCCTCTTTGTTCCGCAGAGCTTTCCAGAAACCCTCCCCCTCGTCTCTCCTTGGCCACGGAGAGGCCTTAGAGCAGGCGAGAGTGTACCTCGACCAGGTCTGTTTGGAACTGTTACCTGAGGCGTTTCTGGGACATAACTTGATAAACGTGTGGGAGCACCGAGCAGCCTGCGCGAGTCTCATTTCAAGTGGCCTGCGGCTGATCGGCCCTCACTGAGCAAGCAGCGCGGGCCCTCCGCCCTGCTGGGTGGGTGCTGCCGAGACTGTGGGTGGCCACGGCCTCTGCAGGGGGACCAGGTGGCCTGTGAGGTGGCAGGGCTGGGTCTGAGGAGGAGGTGGCAGGTGGTGAGGAGAAGTTTGGAAGGTTGAGAAAGAGGAGCAGGGGCACAGGGTGTGCTCCAGGACAGGACGGGAGGGAGCCGGCCCAGAAACAAATTGATGCCTGTCGCCTCTCCCCACCCATGCTGGGCCCACCTCTCCTGGCTGCCTTCCAGTCGCCTGGAGCACCTCTCAAATGGTCTTCCCAGGCATGGAGAGACCCCAGCGGCCTGCTTCCTTCCTGTAGGAGGTGCCAGATATAATCGTATGCTCTTGACTTGGGAGGGGGTGTCCCCTTAGGCCTCTGAGCCCTGCACCCCTAACCATTTCTGACGCGGTGGGCCCTGATCTTGGCCTGGTTTGTCTCCTGTCACCTCTTGCTCTTCCAACTCAGTGAGCACATGTGGTTGACGTAACCTGGGGGTCTTGCCAGCTGGGTCACTTTTCCTGTATGGTGACAGGTTCCCAAAAAAACCACCAATGCCTGTTGTTTGTTCTGCACACATATGAGCTCTGTCTTATCTTTCCTGACTTATTCCATCATGGCTGCACACCCGGACCTGAGGCCTTGGTGCTCTGCTGGACCGGGCCTGCCCCTCAGGGGCCACATTGAATCACATGGAGATGTGATGGGCACGTCTTCAGAGCCCCAAGGGCGGTCCCAGTCTCCCACAGACGGGTCCTAGTTGCCAGTGGACAGTGAGTGACCAGCTCCAAACCCCATGGGAGTGACTTTCTTCTCAGACCCAGGTTGGACTCTGAGGCAGATGCTGGAACAAGTTTGGGGTGCACACTGTTTGTAAGGGAGGGGGGAGGAAGCCTGATTGTTGCTGGCCCTCCAGCCCAGGACCTCGCCAGGGAGCACTGGAATGTCCAGTGACCCACATGGGGCTGAAATGCTGGGTGTTTATGCCCTGCCTGGCTCAGTCTCCCAGGCAGGCCACCCCTGCGGTGTCACCGTGGCCGAGGCTGCCCCCCAGAGCCAGGGCTGCCCCCTAGAGCCGAGGCTGCCCCCTAGAGCCAAGGCAGCCCTGAAGGAGCTGACAGTAGGTGGCTGGGTGCCCAGCATGCTGTCCCCAGGGGGTCTGGAGATGCAGCTGTGGCCCTCCCTCCAGTCACTCCTCCTGTCCAGCCAACTTCCCATTAGCTGCCCGTTGCCCCTTCTCAGAAGTGTCTGTTGGGGTGAAAACTGTGTCAACCCAGTGACGTCCTCAGTCGGGACCTTGGTGAGGGGACTTGCTCTTGGCCTGACAGCCTGGGAGAGGGACCCCTGGCCTATGCCTGGCGGGCTTGTAGGGAGGGAGGGTGCTAGGGACTGAGTTGTGTCCCCCCAGATTCGTATGTGGAAGCCCCAGCCCCCATGTGGTGGTGTGAGGAGGTGGGGCCATCGGGAGGTGACTGGGTTTAGATGAGGTCCTGAGGGGCCCATGATGGGATTAATGTCCTTATGAGGAGAGAGACCAGAACTTCCCATGAGGACACGAGAAGGTGGCCATCTGCCAGCCAGGGCCCGAATTTGCCAGCACCTTGACCTTGGGCTTCCAGCCACCAGAACTGTGAGCAATAAATGTCTCTTGTTTAGCCCCCCAGCGTGTGGTGTTTTGTCCTGGCAGCCGAGTGACTGAGACAGAAAGGGAGTGGCATTTCTCTCTGTCTCCACCGGGGCAGGTTGTTCACAGCTGCCACCATCTTGCCAAGCTCATCTCGGAGACCTGCCTGGGGGAGGAGGCCATCTGGACCCCACGTTCCTGCCCAGCCTCAGAGCCCCTAGTGCAGTTGGCCGTCTCACTGGATAGCCCTGCCTGGATGATCTGTCACAGCGCATCTCACAGTGTCACCCCTCTTCGTGTGGCTCCAAGGATGCCCTCTCCCAGGGGCCGGCCTGGGGCTGGCTGTTCGCCTGGGTTGTCCCAGGGAGGGCTCCAGGGGGCGCACTCGAGTTGCAGCCCAGAGCTGCTCAGCTCTCTGTGGATCCATCACTCCTTGACTTGTTTGCTACAAGGCAGGTCTTTTAAATGAAAATAGAGAAAACCAAAGTGTTTTCTCACCCCATTAAGATTCCTTCTTTCTTCCCTGGACAGGCAGGGTGCCCCTTCAGGAGCACCACCCTTCTAAAGGAGGGCTGGGGGCTGGGGTACGGCCCAGAAAAAGAAAATGCTGCTAACAGGCCCCCATCACCATCAGACTCCCCACCCTCCGTGAGGTGCCAGAACTCTCCAGAACTCCAGAAGGCAGAGGCTGGCCTTCCCAGGCAGAGAGGTGGGGGCCGGGGCCGGCTTGTCTTCAAGAGCCCGATGGGTGACTCACCCTTTCCCCTCTGAGGGACCCTCAGTGGGCTCGGCCAGACACTCTCCCTGTGACCAGGTCTGGGAACAAGTATTTGCCAGAGCGCCCTGGGCCCCACTGTGGGGTTGGGTGTGAACAGAGGAGGGAGGGTCAGGACCTGCAGAAAGGCAGCCTGGGGGAAGCAGCTGCCGCCTGGCTTATAGGATGTGGCTGAGGCAGCACAAGCCTCGTCCCTGAGTCAGAGGAAGCTGAGCATCTGTGGGAGCGCGATCAGATGTGGTCCCCATGCCCTGAGCGCTCGGCCCCCTCCCCGGTCTGCACCTCTGTACATGAGCCCTTCACACGAGGCACCAGAGGCACCAACCGGCAGAGCCGAGGGAGACCCTTCCCCCAGGGCATTCTCGACCAGCAGCTGGTTCCACTCAGCATGGCCACCCTCTAGCTGGGTGACCTCAGAAGTAGCTCGTGTTCCTTGGGCTTGATGAAAACATAACTGGGCTCTGGCCACACTCAGTGTCCCCATGTACAGGCTCTGGCCACACTCACAGTGTGTCCTCTGTCCTGAACTCCACCCTCTGGTTTGCCCTGGAGTCCCTGGCCTGGAAGTGCCTGCTTGGGTGAGGCCAGTGTGGCCCAGCCTGCTGAGGAGGGGAGCAAAGGAAAGTGGACCTGCTCCCTGAGGTCTCCCAGGGTCTGGGCAGGTCCAGCTGCAGTGGCCGCACCCCTTCTGCCCCACAGAGGAACTCCTGATGACTCAGAAACCTCTGGCCTCAGCCTGCATCCTCATGTCTGACAACGGTCCCCAAGCCCAGTGCAGGATGCCCCAGCCTGAGCTTGGCTTGCAGACCCCAGGGCCCTGGCAGGCTCTGGGACAGCCTCAGAGCAGGCCCACTGCTGCCTCACCCCTCCACTATGTTGACTGACTTGGCCTGGGCCTCCATGGAAGCCAGTGGCAGTGGCCAGCCACGCCAAGCTGAGTACCCTGGGTCCTCAGGGTGCCTAGGGTCCCCAGCTGTTCTGTGGACCTGCCAGTGGGGGACTAAGAGGGGCGAAGACCACCGCCCTCCGTGCCCAGTGGCCCTGGCAGACCCAGACGGGCAGGTCTGGGTGTGTGCAGGTGAGAACACCTCCTTTCCCGGGCTTCCTCGGCAGACTTTGCCCTGAACCACCTGTCTGGTTTCCTTCTCTCATCACTTCCTGCTCCAGGCACAGCGGGCAGTACCTTCTCCGTGGAAGCAGCGTGCTAGCCCGTCCTGGTCCTGGGTCTTCGCTCTCATTGTCCTTGCCCGCCTTCCCTCCCCCAGGCCTGGGTTGGCCTTGGGGGTGGCAGAGCTCCTGAGGTGAGTATGGAGATCCTGGTGCCCTGAGACCGGGCAGTCAGGGAGGGGCCTGGCTGGGACAGCGCTTCCTGGGTGGGAGGCAGGATGGAGCCTCAGTGAGCTGGATGGGGCCTGCCGCACTGGGGCCAAGGCTCTCAGATGCTCCGGGCCCTTTTCGCTGTCTCTCGGACTCTATCTTCCTCCGTCTCTAGCTCAGTCTCTCTCTTCATTCATAATCATGCCTTGCTCAGTGCCCCATGTCTGCCTCATTTGGTTTTGCTGGACCTTTTTTCTCCCCTAATATTTAACAGACTTAAGCTAGCTTTGCTGCCTTTTGAAAGGAAGGGAAGAGTCACTCTGTTCCTTGGGACACTTGGGAGTCTTAAGAGCTCAACATGAGGTCTTGGACAGGAGGAGGGTTTTGAGGATTCTCTGGTTTTGAGGATGAGTTTGGAGGGCAGGCCGCCAACCCCCAGGAGTGCTCAGCTCTGGGGCCCCGTCCCTCCCAGGGGGAGCTTAGACGGTGGCTGTGGGCTCTGGCTGCAGCCCACAGGTGGTCCAGTGCATGCCAGGACCCTCTGGCCTTTCCTCTCTGGTTCCCGGCAAGTATAGGCTTCGTCTGCACAGACTGCAAGGCCTGCTCGCTCAGCGTCCCTGGGAACATGGGCCGTGGAGGGTTAGTCAGGGGCATGCTCGTGCGCAGTTTCCTAAAGCTCCCACCTCCCCCCCATCCCATGCACACACCAGACCAGGCTCAGGCCCGGGCCGTCCTCAGCTGCCTGTGACTCCTGGTCCCTTTCCAAACTGGCCAGGAGGTGAGGCTGCTGGGTAAGGAGCCAGCACGGGCTTGGTCTGGGCTGAGGCTGCTGTCAGGGGCCAGTCCTAGGCCTCAGGGAGATCCTGGGGCCTGGGCAGGTGTGGTGTTGGAGGACTGGGGCACATGTGTGTGTCTCTCTGGGCGCATCCCCATACCCCAAGCCCATAGAGAAGACACCCAGCATCTACACATCCCTCTCCGTCACCTTGCTCTCCACCGTTCCTTCACTCTGAAGCCCCTTGGCGAGCATGTGGGGTGCTGTGGATGTGGCCGAGACGCCCAGCGCCTCTGCCCTTAAGGCACACACCCTCCGTTAGGGAGGACCATCTGCACTCAGGTCATCTAGATGTTACCAACAGTGAGGTGATAGAATGTGTTTGGGGGGGTGGGGGTGGTTCTTGACCAGCCTAGGGTTAGCCAGGTGCAGGGAAGAGAGGCTGGGCACCCTCAGGGAATGGAAAGCAGCTCTCTGTGCCCACAGTGCAGGAAGTGGGCTCAGAGAACATGGCAAGAGCTGAGGCTGGAGAAGTAAGTAAGGGCCTTGAGGGCGTTTAAGGAGCTTGGGTCTTATCTCTTGGGCAGTGGGGAGCCACTGCATAGTTTTAAGCAGAGTGTGCTGTGTGTGCATTTGGCATCTCCCTCTGGCTGGAGTCTCAGGGATGGACTGGAGGTAGGGGGCCAACCAGGAGGCTGTTGCAGACATGCAAGGGAGAGGCGATGGCTAGGCAGGGGGTGCTGGAAGCTGAGAGAAGAGGTCAGCGTTGACTTACACTCAGGAAGCAAAATCAGCAGAGTGTGATGCTTGAGGCTTCATTGGTTTGAGTGTATAGATCGATAAGAGGAGAATCAGCACCTTCCAATCCATGAACATGGTACACCTCTCCATTTAGTGAGGTCTTCAATTTTTCTCAGCAAGATTGTGAGGTCTTCTTTAATTTCTCTCAGCAGCATTGTGAGGTCTTCTTTAATTTCTCTCAGCAGCATTGTGAGGTCTTCTTTAATTTCTCTCAGCAACATTGTGAGGTCTTCTTTAATTTCTCTCAGCAACATTGTGAGGTCTTCTTTAATTTCTCTCAGCAACATTGTGAGGTCTTCTTTAATTTCTCTCAGCAACATTGTGAGGTCTTCTTTAATTTCTCTCAGCAACGTTTTGTAGCTGTGGGCATACACATTTTGCACTTATTCTTAAGTACTTTGTTTCCTGATGCTTGTAAATAATACTGTGTTTCTAGTTTCATTTTCCAGTTGTTTGTTGCCAGTATATGGAAATACACTTTTTTGGTATATTAATCTTGTGTCCTATAACCTTGTTAATTCATTCATTAGTTCATAGTTTGGGGAGCAGGGGTTGGGTAAATTCCTTAGGATTTTCTACATACACGAATATGCCATGTCTGGAACTAGAAAGTTTTAGTTCTTCATTTCCTATCTGAATGCATTTTTTCTCTTGCCTTATTTCCACTGGTTAGGATTTTGAATGGAAGTGGTGAGAGCCACTCTCCTTGTTGCTGAGCACAGTGGGAAGGCATTCGGTCTTTCACCGTTGAGTATGAGGTGTCCTGTAGGTCATCTGTAGATGCCCTTTGTCAGGTTGAGGAAATTTTCCTTCTATTCCCAGTTTGCTAAGAGTTTCTATCATAAATGGGTGTTGGATTTTGTCAAATGATTTTTTTTGGATCTGTTGAGAGGATTATACAAATATTCTCCTTTATTTTATTAATGTAGTGAATTATATTGATTGATGTTCTAATGTTAAAATAGACCTTACGTTCCTGGGATACTTGTTCTTGATGTATTATTTGTTCTATGTATTGCTGGGTTCAATTAGCTGATATTCTATTAAGGATTTTTGTGTCTGTGTCCATGCGTGATATTTATCTTTCTTGTAATATCTTTGTCCAGTTTTGGTATGAGGGTAAAGCTTACCCGTGAAAAGGAGTCAGAGATGCTCCCCCTCCTTTATTTTCTGAACATGTTTAAGATTATTATTATTTTATACTTATATGTTCGATAGAATTCACCAGTGACACCATCTGGGTCAGAAGTTTTCTTTGTGGAAAGGTTTTAAGTTATGAATTCAACAACTTTAATAGATACAGGCTATCCAAATTTTATATTTCTTATACAAATTTTAGGAGGTTGTGACTTTTAAGAAATTTATGCATTT